CAAGGCAGACCCTGCTCAAGGCACGAGCACGAAGCAGCCCCTTTGCTCTGGGGCAGGTTTTAGGGACAGCCCCCACATGCTGAGTCCACAAGAGTCAAAAGCACACAGTGAAGTTTCAGCCCCAAGAGACAGAACACCAAGCTGAGAGCATGGAGCTGCCTGGGAGGGGTGGCCACCAGCATGACCAGTACCTCCAGTTCTGCAGCAGTGGGGCCAGGGCCCTCTTCAGCCCCATACCTCTTTGCTTTACCCCGTGGCACATGAAGAGCAGTGGCAGGAACCCCAGTCCTGGCATGGCCTTGCTTCCTCCTCTCTTTTTAAGCACAAGCCCCCAGTGACACTGCATCCACCAGCCCTCACCTGGAAGATGGCATGAGAGCGGGAGGAGACAGCGTTGGCATCAGTGGGATGCTGCGTCCGGTTCCTGTTGCCGTTGGCCAGCATCTCCAGGAGCTGCTCTGCTGATGCAGGCTGGGAGAGAACAGGAGAGGGATGATACCAGTGTGCCCCATGTGCAGGCACAGACACAGCCCAACACAGAGCAGCCACAGCTCTGGCATCCTGCAGCACCGGGGGCCTCGTTTCAGCTCAGGCTCACGTTTGCTGCCAGGCAGGAGCTGTGCAGGTGGCACCCCCCTATCTTCAGACACCCCCTGTCTCCAGGACACATCTGCTTTCAGAACTGCTGGAGGGGCAGCACTGCCCATTCTTATACCTGCTGTGCTCATTTTGATACCTACCTGGTGGAAGGAGAGGCCCTGAACCACAGCTCCTCGCTCAGGATCCTCCCGGATAGCTAGAGGTCCCTTGGGCTCCAGCAGGTCATAGATCTGTTCGTTGTACACCTGAAGCAGGGAACTCAATGTAAGGCTGAGGTTTGGTTCCCCAGTGCTGAGCAGGGAGAGGAGCTTTGGACAGAAGGGTCACCCATGACCTCGTGTCCCACTCCCAGCACCACCTCCAGGACATCACTACCCCCCGAGCAGCTGATGGTGCTCTAGGGGACAGCTCAGGAGGGCTTTCAAAGCAACTCACTTTGCCACAGCTCCTCTAAAGCCTTTCCAGCCAGGAACCCCTCATTGCTACGTGCACCATGGCAAGGAAGAGAAAATGCCACGACTCCAGACAGGAGAAACCAGAAACACCAGTTCACTGAACTGGCAGGGTGAGCTTGCTTCCAGTTGGGCGCCCTGGGGACACTGGGTACCCTGAGCACCCTGAACGTGGCCCTACAGGGTCTGCATCCACCCCAAATCTTAGTGATAGAGACCCAGCTGCGGCAACCACAATGCACCTCCTGGTAGCAGACTAGGACCTCACAGCTCTGCTTTCTGGCCTCCATCCTCTTGTACAGCTCCACCATAGTCAAGTACATGATGCCAGGGCTGTGCTCCGAGCCCAGCATGGTGTGGGTTTTCCCTGCTCCGGTCGCGCCATAGGCAAACACTGAGAGGAGAAAAGGTGAATGGGTGAAAGAGTGAATGGGAGCAGCAGAACGTCTGCTCCTTGCTGCAGAGGAGATGTGGAGACCTTCCCGCAGCAGCCCCTGCAGCAGGGCTCGCTCACCGGCTCCCAGAGACAAGGCAAAGCTCATTACCCTCTGCACTACCTGCAGCACCCTTCAGTGCAGGCTGTTTCCTCATTGCAGCCTCTCCAATCTAGCAGAAGCAGAATGAGTCCCCAAACCATCACTGCTTGGATGCTCCAGTCACCTCCAAACTCTTCCCTTTAACAAACCAAGCAGCCCCATTCCCCCATCTCCACCAGAATGGGTTTCTTCATCCAGCCCTCATAATTCATCTCATTTTTCCACCCCAGTCTTTCAACACCCTCTTTAAAACATCCCCATCAGACATGGACACGCTGATCTAGAGAGCCTCAGCCCTTCTCCCTGTTAGCAGCACTCGGGGCCTCGCCACTCTCTCCTGTGAGGATCCTGGAGCTCTCTTATGCAGACAGAGACACGAGCCGTGCCTGCCAGGTGGGCCCGGTGACAGAGGCAGCCTTCAGCGCCTCGCAGAGCACACGGGGAGCCAGGAATAGCATCCTGCAGCGCCAGTGCCCGGCCCGGCACACGATGAGACAGGAGCGCGCTGTCTCCCGCTCGCTGCCTGCCTTGCACAAGGGACGAGCTCATTAAGGCACCGTCTGCTGACAGCCTGCAAACGGCACAAGGGCTGCAGCACCACGAGAGGAGCTTTCAGGCCCAGCTTCATGGAGCTGCCAGCGTGGGAGATGCTCAGGAGGGGGACAGCAACCCCCAAAGCACCCCAAGATGTGGCAGCTGCACCCCAGATCCCTCCCCAAAACTCAGCATCCCCTGTGGGTGCAGCCCCACATCCAACCTACCTTCACTTCTGCCACAGAGCTCTGCTGACTCCTGCTCAGGTCAGTGCCCACCAGAACCCACAGCTCCCTCCCAGTCACCCAGATCCCAGCCTGCTCCCAGCTCCTGGGTTATCCCATCACATCTGTGTTAAACCACACAGCCTTCTGGTTGGACTTTCCCAGCCCAGGCAGGTCTCTCCCACAAACCACATCACATCCGGAGCACACTTGCCATCACTAAGGGATGCAACCAACAAGTTGAAGGCTGCAGGTTTTGCACTGCTGTTGTGCCCCCCCACCCCCCCACTCCCAACTGCCTGGGGGCTTCCAAGCTCAACCCCCAGCTCCCCCAGGCAGACGGGGCAGGAGCTCCCACAGGACCCAAGCCATTGGCCGGCTCTTACCAGAGCAGTTGGAGCCCTCGAGGACGCTGTCCAGCAGCCCGGAGGCGCTGTGCTGGAACACCTCCTCCTGCGTGGCCTCTTCCCCAAAGACCCGGTCAAAGACAAACTCCAGGTCCTTGCCCTTGGGCCCCCGCGCGGGCTCCGCGGGGCTGAGGACGATGCCGTGCTGGTTAACGACGCGCACGGCCGGGGGCAGCGCCCGCTCACTGCGGGCCAGGGGCCGCACACGCACCACGACAGCCACGGGGCCCTCCTCGGCCGGGGGGCACGGCCCCATGGTGGCAGCAGGGACAGGCACCAGGTGCTGGGACGGCTCCGCTCGGAGCTCCAACGTCTCACAACGGAGCTCGCGCACTGCGGGAGGGCAACGGCTCAGCGCGGGGGAAGCGGCCCCACCCCTGCCCTAACCCCAGAGCCACCGGTACAACCCCAGCGTTACCGGTACAACCTCAGAGCCACCAGTACAACCAGAGAGTTACCGGTACAACCCCAGAGCCACCGGTACAACCCCAGCGTTACCGGTACAACCCCAGAGTTAACCGGCACAACCCCAGAGTTAACCGGCACAACCCCAGAGCCACCGGTACAACCTCAGAGTTAACCGGTACAACCCGAGCGTTACCGGTACAACCCCCAACGGCCTCCCCAACGCCCCCACATCCTCTCCACCCCGGCACCATCCCGTCCCGTCCCATCCCGTCCCATCCCATCCCGTCCCGTCCCGTCCCGTCCCATCCCATCCCATCCCGTCCCGTCCCGTCCCGTCCCCTCCCCTCCCCTCAGCCCCTCAGCCCCTCAGCCCCTCAGCCCCTCAGCCCCTCAGCCCCTCAGCCCCTCAGCCCCTCAGCCCCTCAGCCCCTCAGCCCCTCAGCGTCCCTGTCCCACAGCCCTTCCTACCGCCTCGGACCCCTCACACCGCCGCCCCTCCAGACCCACATCCCCCCACAGCCCCTACACACGCCCCACATCACCCCCTGAGCCCCACCCGCTCCCCTCAGACCCCTTTGCGCTCCCTCCAAGGCCCCCCACAGCTCCCACCTCCACTCTCCGCACCGGCAGCGCTCGGTACTCAAACGGCAGCTCAAGACCCGCCCTCAAATCTGATTGGTGGTCTTGCCACGCCTCCCCTCCTCATTGGCTCCGGGGGTCACGCGCCCCGCGAGGTGCCCCATGGGAGTTGTAGTCCCGCCGTGCCCTGGCCGGCCGCCATCTTGCCCCGCTTTGCTCCGTGCCGGGGCGGGCCCTGAGGCGGCAGAGCCGGCGGTGCCAGCGGACGGGGAGCAGAGGAGGGCCCACGGGGGGCTGAGGGGCCTGAGCTCTGCCCCCAGTGCCAGCTGGTGCAGTGGCTGCAGCCACCCCAGGCCTTAATGGTGCCCTCCTCAGCTGACAGCCCTGGCACTAAGGAGCCTCCCGGTTCCCTGGTGCTGAGGAGCCCTGGGCCCCCTCCCGTCCCCAATGGCTCCGTCCTCGAACCCGGCCCAGGAGGTGGCCGCTGCCCCCGGGCCCCCGCTCTCAGCGCTCATTGGGGCCGGTCCTGCCCGTACCGAGGGGAGTGAGCCCGAGGGTCCCCACAGCTCCGCGGGGCCTGACCTCATCCCCCCGCCATGGCCCTGAGGGGACCCCCACCATGGGGCTGTGGGGACAGGGACGTGGAGGGGGGGCACCCGCAGTGTCCCCATGGAGGTGGCCCCGGGGACACCAAGGGAGCCCATCCCGAGCGGGGTTGGTTGGGGGGGGCACAGGGAAGGGGGCCTTTGGCTCTGCCCCCCGTGGGGACACAGACAGCAGACGGGGGGAGGTCACAGCTCGGCTTTACCATGGAGCCCCCCCCCCCCGCCCCAGTGCAGCCCCCCCAGTGCACAGGGCTGGGGACAGGGGGGCACCTTCATAGACATCTCCATGTCCTGTACATCCATACAGCAGGACCCCCCCGGCCCCGGCAGCGCCCCGCGTGTGGGGAGGCAGTGGGGAGCCATGGGGCCAGGGAATGGGGGTGCAGTGGGGAGGTCCCCAGCTTCTTGCTGGCCCCTCAAACCCCTATTTCCCCCCCCCAGCCCTGAATTAGCAGCCATGGGGTCAGCTAACGGGAAAGAGGGGTTGTGGGGCACCACAGATGGCTTGGACCACTGCGGGGGGGGGATGCTGTGGGGCTGAACCATGGCAGAGGGAAGCTGTGGGGCTGGTCATCAGTAGGGAGAGGCAATAGGGCCGGACAGCAGTGGGGAGAAACCATGGGGCTGGATAGCAGCTGGGTGATGCTGTGGGGCAGTGGAGGTTACCATGGGGTTGGGGGGATTCTGTTGGGCCAGACCACAGCAAGGGGATGCCATGGGGCAGGACTGTCACTGGGGGATGCTGGGGGGCGATGCCGTGGGTCCAGGCTCAGTCCGAGTAGATGATGAAGCCGGAGAAGGTGCTGTACTTGTTGTTGTTGCCGCCGTGGGCTTTGCCCCCGTCCAGCTTGATGAAGACCTCGTCGCCCGCATCCAGGTGCAGGATGACGCTGTTGCTGGCGTAGTCGTAGTTCTGATCGGCATCCTGGGCGATGGCGCTGGCCCGGACCTGCGCAGGGGACACCGCGTTACCCGGCCTTGGAGCCCATGGGATCCCCAGATCCCAGCCACAGCCAGTGCCGGTGCGGTGTGGGGAGCCCTGGGTGCCCACCCGTGGGTGGAGGTGGCTGCTCCGAGCATCACCCAGAGCCTCACCTTGAGCTGGCAGCTCTGGGTTTGGATGGGGGACAACGGCACGGACATAGGACCATGGCTCTGGATTTGGGTGCGGGAGCACGGCTCACACATGGGAGCCCATGTCTGGATTCGGGTGCATGATGATAACTCAGCCACGGACCCTGACTGCAGGTTTGGGTGCAGGACCACGGCTCGGACATGGGACCATGGCTGCGGGTGCAGATATAGGACCACAGCTCTCACACAGAACCCACATTGAGATGTGGCACCACAGCTCTGACGTGGACCTAACCCCAGGTCACACATAGCTCCAGATCCAGATGGGGACCACATCCTGCACACAGGACCCCATCTCCCAGCCCAGCCCCAAACCAACTTAATGAACCCCACACAGGCTTCATGGGGATCGTGAGCCCGACCCACCCCAAACCAAGCCTTGAGCTCAGGCAGCTCCCACCCCGCTGCGGAGCGGGATGCAGGGGACAAGGCCAGGAGGTGCCTGGAGGAGCAGCTCTGTGGCTGGAGCCTGCTGCTGCTGCAGCATCATTTGGGTAATCAAATCCAGGCCGGCGCCTTGCGGGGCCGTGCTGTGGCGCTGGGTGACAGGGACAAGCTGGCAGGTAAAACCCCAAGCCAAAGGCAGACGTGATGCTCCCGACTGCAGCCAACGAGAATGGGCTTTTAATTGGATGGTGCCAGGCGGGGAGGCACCGGCGAGAGGCTGCGGGGTCCCAGATGTGGGCTGGGAAGGAGGGGTGTCCCCAGGGAGCCCCTAGGACAGTGTCCCAGGGATGTGCTTCCCCTTGGGAATGCAGCTCCTGCTCCCCACGCTCACAGGAAGCCTGCGATGGTGGGGGGCAAGCACTGTTAACTCTGGAACCTACTGGTCCCATAGGGCTCGCTGTCATGCAGCCGTTTCCTTCGTGCCATCACCATCACCCTGAGCCTACCCCGGCAGCACGGGGGTCCCTGTCCCCAAGGCTCACCATGGGTCACAGTGCCCAGGGAATGCTGCCTCGCCGGGGGTTGTGTGAGGAAGAGGAGCAGAGGAAGAAGCACAGGGGGAAGGAAAAGGAGGAAGAGCCTTGGCTTGGCACTGGGCTCTGCTGCCATCCCTTTTCCCTTGGCACCGTGTGCCCTGGCACTCACCAGGGCCAGGCCGAGCCAGTGCCACCAGCGCCCCCCACCATGGCCTCGTGCCCCTCGTCCTGCTCCGTGCCTCAGTTTCCCCGTGCCACAGCCACAGGTGGAAACCATGGGGGGACACATGGCCCTGCCACAGCCGCTGTCACTGACCCCAGGGACACCGCTGGGGGTGTCACCATCCCTGGGGGCACTGCGGGATGGTCCCCAGTGTCACTGCTGCACCCAAGGGCCCTGGGCTGTTGGGGTAGGGGGTGCTCCTGTGTGGAGGCTGAGCCACTCGGTGCCTGGGGGACACCATGTGCCACGGCCACCATAGCCCAGGACACCCGGTGTGTGTCAATGGGGCCCCCCCAAAACCCACAAGTGTGGTGGTGGTGGGTGCTCCCCTCAGCTCCCCCTGGCCAGGGCAATGGGTGCCCCCTGGGGACCCCAAACCCACCCGGTTCCAACCCAGTTCCCGCTGCCCCTCTGGCTTCATCCACGGGCTAAGGCAAACCAGAGCCATTGCAGCTCCCCAGGCTCTCATTAGCTCCAGCCCCGACACGGCGGTGATGGGCTGTGCCCCAAACCGGCAGCGCCCAGAGGAGAGAGAGGGCTCAGAGCGATGGGGGGCCCAAGCTCTAATTGCCTTGGAGAATACCGGGATTGACCCTAATCCAGTGGGAAGCCCCCTGGGACCCCCCAGTTAACGCAGGGTGTAATGACTGGGGGCATTTGGGGGGTACCCGTCTTAATCCGAGCCGAAGCGCTCCGGAGCGGCTGCTTCAGCACCACCGGAGCGCTGACAGCTCCTCAGTAATTAACAACCCGTTAATTGAGCTGCATCCCCCGGCCGGGAGCTCCGCATCCATCCCCTCCCATCGACCCCACACGGGCTGGAGCGCGCCGAGGGAGGGGAGGAGGTTGGGAAGGGTTGGGGTGGGGGGGGGGTCCCCAACACTATTCCAGGGGAGGGAAAAGGGGGTGAGGGGGGTGTTGGGGGGTGCTCGGTCCGGAGCTTGGGGGAAAGACCCAGGCGTCACTGAGAACCCCCTGGAATTTGGGGGAGACAAAAGAAACGAACCAAAGGGAAGGAGATGCCAAGTGTTTGGGTATGGGGAAACGGACAGGGATGCACAGCGGGGCTTGGTGCCGGCAGGAAACGCTGGGAAGCGGGAGCAGGGTGGGATGGATCCCACCGGTGACACCCAAGCGGATGGGGCTCGGGTGAGGTTTCGGGGGGTCAGGGCCATGGCTTGTGTTCGGGTTGTGACTGGGGGGGGGGGCACACGGGGTGGGGAAGGGGCAGCGGTTTGGGCATCACCCGAACGCCGCGGGGATGGAGAGGCTGTGTCTGGGCATCGGGAGGGTTTCCCGATGGATTGGGATGGGAGGAATGATGGGGGGGGGTGGGAGGGGGTCAACAACGGAGCCAGCATTGAGGTGCCCCCCCCATGTTGTCCCCACATAATACCCCCGCACAGCCCGGCAGGGATGGGGACATCTCTCCTGGCACAGCAGCAGCAGCAGCAGAGCCGGCTCCGGGCTGGGGGTGCAGCACCCCTAAAGCAGGGCAGGCGCTGCCCCCCTCCAGGCCACCACAGGCACTGACCTCTATGGAGGAGCCCTGTCTCCCCCCCCCACCCCGGGGCAGTGCAGAGGGGCCACGGGGGGCAGAACACCCCAGAGACACAGCCAAGGATGGGACCGAGGGGGGACACATCAGGGCAGCGCGGTTCTGGAGCACCCAGGGGAGCATCTCCAGGGATGAGGCACCCTGGGGATGCAGCCAGAGCCCAGCATCGCCACCGGGAGAAGGATGGAGCATCCTGGGGGAGCTTGCCCAGGGCTGGGAGAAGGATGTGGCCCAGCGGGAATGCACCCAGAGCCCATCATGTCATTAGGAGAAGGACAGGGCCCCCCAGGGGTGCATCTCGATAGCCAGGAGAAGGATGTGGCACCTTGGGGAAGCGCCCAGAGCTCATCACTGGCACGGGGAGAGGGACAGAACATCCTGGGGGTACATCTCTGGGGATGGGAAAAGGATGGGGCACCCTGGAGGTGCACCCAGAGCCCACCATCACCTCTGGGAGAAGGATGGAGCATGCTAGCGATGCATCCCTGGGGCCAGAAGGACAGAGCACCCCAAGGGTGCACCCAGAGCCCACCACTGCTACCGGTAGAAGGATGTGGCATGCTCTGGATGCATCCCTAGGGTAGGAAAAGCACAGAGCACCCTAGGAAAGCACCCAGAGCCCATCATTGCCACCGGGAGAAGAGATAGGGCACCTCAGCAATGCATCCCTGGGGCCAGGAGAAGGACAGAGCACCCCAAGGGTGCACCCAGAGCCCACCACTGCTACCGGGAGAAGGATGTGGCATGCTCTTGGTGCATCCCTAGGATAGGAAAAGCACAGAGCACCCCAAGGAAGCACCCAGAGCCCATCATTGCCACTGGGAGAAGAGATGGAGCACCCTTAGGAAGCCCCCCAGAGCCCGTCCCCAGTGTTTGGGGGGGGGCAGCAGCAGGTCCCGTCCCCTCGGTGGGGCCGGCAGCCGGGATGCCCAGCCCTTACCTGGCCGTTCTTGCAGAGGTCGGCCCACATGCTGGTGCCATCGCCGCCGCGCATCAGGACGTGGTAGGTGAAGAAGTAGGTGCCGGGGATGGCGCAGGTGAACTTGCCCGAGGCGGCGTCGTAGCTGTTGCCCAGGTTGGTGACCACGTCGTCGAACTTGAGCACCTCGTAGCCCTCGTGGGGGTTCTTGAGGCCGGCGTAGAAGGCGACGCGCGGCACCGTGCTGTAGGTGGCGGCGCTCACCGCGCCCGTAGCCCCCGGTCCCGGCAATCCCGGCGGTCCCGGCCGCCCCGCTTCACCCCGTGCCCCCGCCGGTCCCGGTGGTCCCGGTTCTCCCGGCGGTCCCGGAGGTCCCGGTTTCCCCGGTCGCCCCGGTTTGCCTTGAGGACCTTGCACCAGGGTGGAGGGCGGCGGGAGGGGGCCTCGTTCCGCCGGTTGCTGGGGGGGAGCGGCGGGGCCGTAGGGCTCGCAGACCATGCGGCAGGTGCCCAGCATCTCGTAGCGGCCGTCGGTCCCGGCGGAGCTCACCAGCACCGGGATGAGCACCACCAGCACCAGCACCATCACCACCCCCGCCGCGGCCGCCAGCAAAGTTTTCCGGCCCAGGCTGAGCCGCCGCCCGGCCGGGGCCCGCTGCCGCCCGGGGGGGGGAATGGTGCCGGTGGGGGGGAGCAGGGCGGCGGCGGGGGGGGGATCGGCGGCGGCGGCTCCGCTCCGCTGCGCTCCGCTGGCTCCGGTGCGCCCCGCGCCCGCACAAGCCACGCCCACTCCCGACAAGCCCCGCCCACAGGACACGCCCCCCCAATCAAACACCACACACACACCACCCCCTCCTCTCCGGTTCTCCATGGGACCCCCCCCCCGTTCCTCCAAACGGCGGCCACCCCCCGGGACCGCCACCGGTGTCCGCATGGGGGGGCGGCCCCCAGACCCCCCCCCCGTGCCTCAGTTTCCCCTCCCCGTGACAGCGGCCGCGCACCCCCCCCCCCGCGATGCTGGGGATGACGAAGGCCGCGGTGACAACGGAGCCGTCCCCGCGGGGCGCTGAGCACCGGGGGGGCTTCGTGGCACGGGGCCACGCGGCTGAGCCCGCTCCATCGCCCGCCTCGGCGGGGACAGCGGGACGCGATGGGAAGCGACAGCCGCCGCCAGCGCCGGGGGTGAGCGAAGGACGCGGGGCCGGGGGGGACACAGGCAATGGGGACAGGGCGATGGGGGGGGGGGCACAACACACACAGAGCACAGCGCGGCCCCGGGGCTGCTCCCGGTGCCACCCGCCACAGGTGACAGCGCCGAGGTGGCACCAACACCCATGGGGTCCATGGGGTCATCGTCTCCCCCCCAAGACCCTGCCCCAAGGGACACACGGAAAGGGGACAGCCCCCCCAGCCCAAAAGAGGAGGGGACCGAGGGGACACTCAGCAGCCCATCGATCGTCCCCAGCTCCCACAGAGGCTTTACTTTGATGAGCAAGAATTAATTAGTCAGCTTTAAGGAGGTGATTTATTCCTGGGGCTTAACGAGGCACGGTTGGGGGGGGGGCAGAGTGTTTTGGGGTGGGGGTGCTGCCACCCCCGTGTCCCCCCTCAAGCTGTCACCATCGTGGCACTGCCTCCGTCCCTGGCTCTTTCCTCCATTCTGCCCCTCTTCCCCCCCTTCACCCCATTCATTCTGGTTTAACAAGCACCTAAAATCACACCCGATTGAGGCCACCGGACCTGAGTCATGGCCACACGGTGCCGCGGTGGCCCCGGCACACCCCGCTTGCATCAGGGCACTGAAGGATACAGGGGACATCCCTGGTCCTGGCCACTGGGTCCTTGCAGTGGGGACCCCAGCCCACAGGTCATTGTGTCCCCATGGCATGGCCACTACCCCAGGCCACCCTGGGCCACCACATCCCCATGGCATGGGCACCACGTCCACAGGCCATGTCCCTATAGCCGAGCCGGGATGGCTTCACCACTGGCCTGGGATGGGACCAATGCTGCAGCTGGCGCTGACCGGGTACCCCAAGGCGCTGCCTGCCCCTGTTGCCAACCCCTGCATGAGGAGGTGACGCAGCGCAGTCCCCCGGCCCGGCTGCATCCACCTGGGGATGGCAAACTGATGAGAAGCCTCCGGAGGGCCCTGGCTGAGGAGGGAGGACAAAGGCGGGAGGTGACAGCGGTGGCAGCGGTGGCTGCGGCAGTGGCTGCGGCGCTGGCTCTGCTCGACGCCAGCCGCCGCCGCTCCTCTGCAAAGGTTAAGCAAACAGCAGCGCCGGCACAATCGATGCGCGCCCGAGCCCGCCGCTGTTTGCTCTGCAGCATCACGCGGGGAGCGGGTGGGTGACACCGAGGGGATGCACCCCCCCATGGCTCACTGGGGAGCTCATGAAGGGGGATTTGGGTCAGGCTTTTGTGGGGGGCAGTGCTGGGCCCTGCCTCAGTTTCCCCTCTGGGGGGCACAGGGATGCGGCACGGCTGCTGTGGCAGCACTGATGGCTCAGCAGGAACATAGTACTGGGAGCTGGAAACACCCAACAACCCCGATGTCAGCCCACGCTGCTGAGCTTGGGAAGGGAGCTGCTGCTTGCAAACTGTCCCCGATGGTTTTAGGTGCTGGCCCTCAAACTCCTACTGTGTGCATGGGGCCCAGAGGGGGCTGTGGGAGCACATCCATCCATCCCTGAATCCATCCATCCATCCATCCATCCATCCATCCCTCCATCCCTTCATCCATCCCTTCATCCATCCATCCATCCATCCATCCATCCATCCATCCATCCATCCATCCACCCATCCCTCCATCCATCCCTGCATCCATCCATCCATCCATCCCTTCATCCATCCATCCATCCATCCACCCACCCATCCCTCCATCCCTCCCTCCATCCATCCCTTCATCCATCCATCCATCCCTTCATCCATCCATCCATCCATTCATCCCTTCATCCATCCATCCATCCACCAACCCACACCTCCTTGCATCCACACATCCTTCCATCCATGAATTCATCCACACATGTATCCATGCATCCATTTGTCCATCATCCATCCATGCAGCCATCCTGTGTCCCTGCATCCAGCCATGCATCTGTTCATGCACCCTTCCATCTGTGCCTTCATCCACATACGTATCCATGCACCTATACATCCACATGGATGGCTCGCTGTTTGGTTGCACACTTGGATAGAGGGTTGGCCAGTTGGCCACATGGCTGGATGGCCAACGGGCTGGGTGGCTTGAAGGCTACCGAGGTGGCTGTTTGATGGCTACCTGCTCACTTGCCTGGCTGGGTGGCTGCTAGCTGCCTGGCTAGCTGGCAGTGGGGAGCCAGTGGCCAGCTACCCAGCTGGCTGGTGGCTAGCTGGCTAAGTGGTGGGCTAGCCTCCTGCCTGCTTGGCCCCTTGACCAGTTGGCCCCAGGTCTTGCTGGCCAGTGGCAGGCTCATTGAACATGGGGCTGGAGCAGAGGGGACTGGAGCTGCTGGGACCTGTGGTGCTGCCCCCAGTGTGCCCCATGGCTGGGGTGCGCAGTGGCACTGGGTGAGAGCCTGCGGGAGGTGCAGGGGGGGGGCACTGGGGAGTATCCTGCACAGTGACAGCGTGCGACACCCCAGGGCATGCAGTGATGGTGACAGTGGGTGACAGCCCGAGGGCCATGCAGTGACAGTGACACTGGATGATACACTGTGGGACAGCAGTGATGGTGACAGTGGGTGACAGCCCGTGGGCCATGCAGTGATGGTGATAGTGGGTGACAGCCCGAGGGCCATGCAGTGACAGTGACACTGGATGATACACTGCGGGACAGCAGTGATGGTGACAGTGGGTGACAGCCCGTGGGGCATGCAGTGACAGTGACACTGGATGATACACTGCGGGACAGCAGTGATGGTGACAGTGGGTGACAGCCCGTGGGGCATGCAGTGACAGGGCACCATGCACCAGGCACTGATGGTGACTCTGGGTGACAACCCATGGGAGCTGCGGTGGCACCCGGCAGCCCCGCAGTGATGGTGACACCCCTGTGTGCCCCACAGTGACAGTGACACCGTGTGACACCCCACGGCGTGCGACAGTGACACTGTGAGACCGTGGGGCTCTGCAGCAGTGCTGGGTGACACGAGTGGGACTGGGCAGCCACGGTGTCACTGTGACACCGCAGGGGCTGTGCTGCACCCCGGGGACCATGGAGGGGTGGTGACAGCAATGACACCCAGGGCCATGCAGTGACCTGCCAGCTCCAGGACATCTGCACTTCCCATTCCCAGTGGATACCCTGGGATGCTGCTCTGCAGGGAGAGCACTGTGGCAGGAACGCTGTGGGACAAGGATGCTCCAGGTAAGGGGTGCTCCAGGAGTGGGATGAACTGGGGAAGTGGTACACCAGGGACGGGGTGCAGTGGGATGGGGGTGCAGCGGGATGTGGTACACCAGGATGGGGTGCAGCAGGATAGGGGTGAAGCAGGATGGGGGTGCAGCAGGATGGGTGCAGCGGGATGGGGGTGCAGCAGGATGAGGGCGCAGTGGGATGGGGTGCAGCAGGATTGGGGTGCAGCAGGATAGGGGTGCAGCAGGATTGGGGTGCAGCAGGATGGGTGCAGCAGGATGGGGGTGCAGTGGGATGGGGGTGCAGCAGGATGGGGTGCAGCAGGAAGCGGTGCAGTGGGATGGGGTGCAGCAGGATGGGGGTGCAGCGGGATGTGTGCAGCAGGATGGGGGTGCAGCGGGATGGGTGATGGGATGGGGTGCAGTGAGATGGGGTGCAGCAGGATGGGAGTGCAGCAGGATGGGGTGCAGCAGGATGAGATGCAGCGGGATGGGGGTGCAGCAGGATGGGGGTGCAGCAGGATGGGGGTGCAGCAGGATAGGGGTGCAGCAGGATGGGGGTGCAGCAGGATAGGGGTGCAGCAGGATTGGGGTGCAGCAGGATGGGTGCAGTGGGATGGGGGTGCAGTGGGATGGGGGTGCAGTGGGATGGGGTGCAGCAGGATGTGTACAGGGAGGGGGTGCAGCGGGATGGGGGTGTCCATCCATCACAAGCCCTTAGCAACAGCAGCAGCACGGATCCACCCCAATTGCCAGCAGTGAAACGTGGCTGCGGGAGGTGCGATGAGCTGGGGCGGCCTCAGCACCCAGCACCAGTGCTGGGAACAAGGGCTCAGGATGTCTCCATCCCGTCCCGTCCCCCCCACCCCGGCTGGGTACGCGCTGCCCTTCAGGCCCCCAGCAGGGCCATCAATCGCGCTGTCGATGCCACCCAGCAGAGCCATCCGTCACCAGCGCTGCCGCTTGTCCCCGAGGGGGGCTGCACTCTGCGGCCAAGCCCCCAGCTCCGGAACCCGGCCCTGGTGGGGCCCAGTCGGGTTGAACCCACACTGGGGAAGGGGGGGGCTCAACCAGGGCCACCCCAAACCCATCCCCCCCCGCCCCGTTAACCCTGTTAGCGGCTGGCGCACGTCAGCAGGGCCGCAGCGGAGCCGCAAATGCGATTACGGGGCCGGTCTCGGCTCCCGTCCCCCCCCCCCCGCTCCCGCGGCCCCTTCCCCCGCAGCGCTCCGGCTCCAGCCCCGAGGGGCTCCCGGCACCGCCATGGACAGGGGAGGGATGCACGGAGGGGTCGCGCTCCCCCAGCACTGCCCGCAAAGGGGGGTACCGAGGGTTGGGGCTGCACAGGGTGAGTGAGGCAGAGCTGGGCCCAGGGGATGGCCATGGCGTGGGAACGGGGCTCGGCCCCAAAAGGGGCTGTGACGCCTGCGGAAGGTCCCTGTGCTGGCACTGGGGACGGTGAGGATGCTGCCTGGCTCTGCTGCATCCCTGCCTGCACAGGCAGGAGGTGGGCAGGGGCTGCAATGCCGGCCTTTCCCTAGTGCCAGGGCAGGGAGATGGGGGGGTGCCTGCAGGACAAGGGGGTGGCAGTGGGACAGGGGGGAGGCAGTGGGACAGGGGCAGGCAGTAGGACAAGGGGGTGGCAGTGGGACAAGGGGGTGGCAGTGGGACAAGGGGGTGGCAGTGGGACGGGGAGTGGCAGTGGGACAGGGGAAGACAAGGGGGTGGCAGTGGGACAAGGGGGTGGCAGTGGGACAGGAGGGTGGCAGTGGGACAGGGGAGGCGCAGGACAAGGGGGTGGCAGTGGGACAGGGGGGTGGCAGTGGGACAGGGGTGGCAGTGGGACAGGGGGTGGCAGTGGGACAGGAGGGTGACAGTGGGACGGGGGGCTGTAGGACAAGGGGGTGGCAGTGGGACAGGGGGGTGGCAGTGGGACAGGGGATGGCAGTGGGACAGGGGGAGGCAGTGGGACAGGGGGGTGGCAGTGGGACAGGGGGTGGCAGTGGGACAGGGGGGAGGCAGTGGGACAAGGGGGTGGCAGAGGGACGGGGGGACTGTAGGACAAGGGGATGGCAGTGGGACAGGAGGGTGGCAGTGGACAACAACAACACAGGACAGGAGGGTGGCAGTGGGACAGAGCTGTCCCAAGGCGCAATCACCACCATAGAAAACCCCAGCCAGCCCCAAAATCACCCCTCAGGAAGCCAACCCCAGCCCATGCAGTGCCTGGAGCCAACACGAAGCCAGCCCCCCCCCCAACCATGGAAGCTCAGGGCAGGGGCTGATGCTCCCCCAGGCTCCGCAGGAGCTGTGTACTCAGCGCTCACGTCAGCTCTGCTCGGGTGGGCTGAACTTTACCGAGCGCGGCATAGGAACAACGGGGGAATGGGGCAGGAAAGAGCAGCGCTCGCAGCCCCGAGGCTGGGGAGCTGCAGGAGCCGGCTGCTGGTTAGCGCTTTATTAAAACAAATGAGAGGAGCCCGGGCTGGAGCTCCCTGCGGGAACACTGCCGCTGCCGGAGAGCTCAGACAGCGCTCGGTGAGCTTCAGCCAGGCAGGGCTCAGGGCTCAGCCTGCTCCGAGGGTGAATCAGCCCCTCAGCAAGCACCGAGGGGGACCCCTCAGTGATGAAGGCAGAAACAGAGGGCAGGAGCAGCCAGGCTGTGTGCAAGGAGGTGCTGGGGAGTGAGAACGGTTCCATTAAATCAGTGTTGAAGAAGGGAATTCCATGTCTGAATTCAGCCTAGCCAGGGCTGGGAGCTAGGGAGGGATCAACCTGGGGACACCCAATAGCAGAAACAGGACCTGGGAAGCCACCCGCTCCCCCAGTGAATGGATTCACAGAACCCCAGCCTGGTTTGGGTTGGAAGGGACCTCAAAGCCCATCCAGCTCCAATCCAGCTCCAGGGACCCCTTCCACTGGAGCAGCTTGCTCCAAGCCCCTGTGTCCAACCTGGCCTTGAGCACTGCCAGGGATGGGGCAGCCACAGCTTCTCTGGGCACCCTGTGCCAGCGCCTCAGCACCCTCACAGGGAAGAGCTTCTGCCTAAGAGCTCAGCTCAGTCTCCCCTCGGGCAGGTTCAAGCCATTCCCCTTGGCCTGTCCCTACATTTCCCTGTAAAAAAAATCTCTCCAGATTCCTTTTAGATATTAGAAGATTGGCAAAGATTGTCCTATAAGACATTAAAGTGCCTAAATCCACTGAATTCCCTCCACACAGACCCAGCAGGGGGGAAACAAAGGACTTGTTCCCTCCCCTGGCCACAGCCACGCAAGGGGAATGGTCCCATCCCACAGGCAGAGCTGGTGGGATGAAGCCAAGCAGAGGGGTGACGGTGCTGCAGAACCCCCCCCTACACTCCCCTTGTGCAGGCTGCAAGGAGATGCCTCATCCCTCTGTCTGCATTCAGCCGGCAAAGCTCATTAGAGGAGGTGGCCTTTCAGTGCTCTTTTCAAAGCTGGAAACCCAGGCCTCTGGCAGGGCAGAAGGAGGGGGTGAATTAGGAGCTGAAATGCCGGAGGAGGAGGTACAGGAGCCCCCCGAGCCCGGCCACGGCCGTGCCCGCTGCCAGCCGTGCCCAGAGGAAAGCCAGGGAATCCTCGAGGTGGCTGTGGAGCCTCAGGACCTGCCGGCGGGTGCTCTCCCGCTCCCCCGAGTTGTCGATGATGTGAGTTGCAAACCTGCGCTTCTCCTCCAGCGGGAGCTGCGAGCGGATGCGAGCTTCGGCCTCCGCCTGGGCCAGCCCGTTCCTCCGCATGAGCCGGGAGAGCTGCGCCCCGGGGCTGCTGCCGGGAGGGGAGGATGGGGTGAAGGGGATGAGGGAGGAAGAGGAGGCTTCTGCCTGCCTTCCTCAGCAGAACTGTGGGGGGGGAGATGTGCTCTGTGTGAGCATCCTTCACAGGCATCCCCACAGCGCTGCCAGGTCTGTAACACCCCAAAGCCTGCCCCAGCCAATAGGTTGTGGAAGGCCTAAAGACAGCGACTTCCCCTGTCACAGTGGTGCCAGGCTTCAGGAAACCCGCAGTAAGAAGCCCCTTGCACACTAGGATACAGGCAGGCACCTGGAAAGAGGTGGTGCTGCTGACAGGCTTTGTGCCAGGGCTGTGGCTAAATCCTCACCAAGCAGGAGGGACATGATGGTCCCCTCCAGCCTGTCTGAGAGGCTGTAGCATCCCAACCTCATGGTTCACACCGCACTTACCAATACACCAGGACCGTGTATTTCATCAGCTTGGTCAGTCTGTTGGTCTCAAAGAGCAGAGGGATGTCGAGGATCACGTAGCGGTACCCTGCAGGAACATCATCCCCAAGAAGGGAATGGCATTACTTGGATGCCCAAACCCCTCATGCTGCACACACACACTGCAGCCACAGCTGCTCCAGCAGCAGAGCTCCACATGACAGCCGAGGGGAGAGCAGAGCCTTCCTGCCCTCCTCCCTCTCAGGATGTGCTTTCATTCCAAGTTTCCAGAGGGGGAGAAAAAGCACAGCCAACAAACCCTAACCTGCCTGAGCTCAGAGCAAAGGTGAAGCTGCACAACTATAATGAGGAGCTGAAAGGAGCTCAAATGAAAGTGCCTGCTCCTGCCTGGCGGGAGCCGCAGCCACACTGCTGTTGCTGGGCTCTCCAGGGGAGCAGCGCTCGCAGCAGAATCTGCTCTCCTCCCTTTCACTTGTCCAAAGCTTCACCCGACTGCAGCCACTTGAGCTGATGCTTCCCAGCTCAATTTGTTTCCCTTTATGGAAGGCTTTGCTTCAACACTTCCATTTTTCCAACGGGAGCAAGGAAATCTTGCAGACTTTTCGCAGCTGTGACACTGGCACAGCCCCCAGGGGCTGAAACCTCCCTAAAACCGGGCCAGATTGGTTTAAAACCCCCATCACCACACAGCAGCTGCAGAGGAGAGGTGGTACCCACCAGCCACCATCCTCCCGGGCCCTGCTGCCCACCCCAGGCTCTCCATGTCTGTCTTCCACAGACAGCAGTGTTTGGGGATGTGGGGCACATCCTGCTGCATCTGGGGAGGAGGCGAGAGCAGGGGAAAGCTCTACGTGAGGACCTCACTCCCCTCTGTGTCCCCCAGCCATGAGGACACCTCCAGTTTCACTGGTGTCCCCTCTTCACAACCCAAACCCCCCCACCTGAGCTGGCCATGGCAATAAAAGCCTTGACAAAGACATCCTCATCCACCAAGCAACCATTTTACCAGCATCTCCGCCCAGACAGACTCCTTGCTGCCCTCCAGTTGGATCGATACAAGCTTTCCTTGCAGAGCCATCCTTAGAGACAACATCCAGCTATCCCAAATCATTAAAACCTGACTAATGAGGACAAAGCAGCCTGCAGAAGACACTCGGTGCTCTTGCTGAGGGGCAGGACAGCATCTGCCTCCCAAGCCTGCAGCCCTGGGTACAAGCCTCCATCTCTGGCTCCCGGCTTTCCTGCCTGTTGCTTCCTTTGTGCCTCCTCCTCCTCCTCACCCTGCAGCAGAGCACGGCCCCTGCAGTGCCCAGGCACAGGCCTATTCAGCTGTCACAGGGCTCCGCTTTGATAAGCTCTATGAAACCAGACTGACTCTATTAAGACATCCTTCTGTCTACACAGAGACCTCCAAACCAGCTGGTGATGTTATCTGGCGTGTGATTAGACCAAGTTTGACAGCTGTATTTGTTACATTTACCAGGGGGAAAAGCAGGACTTTGGAAGACACAGCTGTCAGCCCAGTTCTCACCTTATCGAGACTAAAAGGGCTCTGCAGCTTCCATGGCAGGCCGGGAAGGCTGATGGCAGGGAGGAATACTTGCCCGTTTCGGAAGGTATGACATTATACATCAAGTAATCTCAGAAGAGGCCTCACAATGCTTTTGCTCAGGCCCTACAGATGTACTTTAAGCCATAGAAGAAGGTGGTGAAGGGCAGCAGTGAAAGGTAGGAATGAATCCTCCAAACACCAACGCTAAAGGCCACCGGTGGCGGAGCACAAAGGCAGTCACTCAATGTCGGTTCCTTTTGTCCTTCCCTGTCCCTCTTCCCACTTTAAAACCAAAGGCAGAGCAAGCAGGTAGACCTCCTGCCCGAGGAGGAGCCTCTTACCTAACACAAAGTACTTCAAGATCTGCTTCAGCATCTCCTTCTGGATCTCCGGGTGGGTGATGGAGTTCAGCAGCCGCCGCTTCTCCGGCTGGGAGAAGATAATGCTTCCCAGAGCCTCCCGGTTTATCTCCCCGTTCTCCAGGAGGATCTCGGTGCCAAAGTGATGCACTATCTGCTGATAGGCCTTGAGCTGGGGCTGCACCACTGAGAACATGAAAGAGCTGGAGCTTAGAGCCAGTTCTACAGCACGGTTGCTGTTTGCATCAGCGATCGGCCTCAGCTGAGTTTGGTTCATTAAATAACCCAGCTCATTCCCCATGGTGGGCAGCACATCTGCGTGCAGCACACACTGCACTGAGAGCAGCACGGCTCTCACCGCAGCCCAGCACACACCTGCATCGGTGCTGCTGCAGGAAAGGGGCTGCAAAACCCCCTCTGAGCCCAAGGGCCCTTTGAGCGCTGACACCCGAGAGATCGAAGCATCCTGCACACATTAATTCAGAGCCACAACCCTCCCTGTGCTGCTGCTGCTCGGGGTTAGGAGGCACAGGGTGGCTGGGAGGGTTTGCTGACAGCCAAGGCACAGGCAGGAATGGGGCTGAATGATTCCCAAGGCATGGGCAGGAATGGGGCTGAATGATTCCCAAGGCATGGGCAGGAACGGGGCTGAATGATTCCCAAGGCATGGGCAGGAATGGGGCTGAATGATTCCCAAGGCATGGGCAGGAATGGGGCTGAATGATTCCCAAGGCACAGGCAGGAATGGGGCTGAATGATTCCCAAGGCATGGGCAGGAATGGGGCTGAATGATTCCCAAGGCATGGGCAGGAATGGGGCTGAATGATTCCCAAGGCATGGGCAGGAATGGGGCTAAATGATTCCCAAGGCACGGGCAGGAATAGGGCTGAATGATTCCCAAGGCATGGGCAGGAATGGGGCTGAATGATTCCCAAGGCATGGGCAGGAATGGGGCTGAGCAATTCCCATCACCTGCAGGGTGAGGAGTGGAGCAGGGAGATCCCAAAGGGACCAGGACCAGCATCAGGGTTGTTTTAGCTGCAAACTTCAGCACTGGGTGAGCACAGCCTGACTGCTACAAGTCAGCTCCTAATGTGGTTTATCCTTTCTTACTGTCTTTCACCTCAGTCACCCAATTCTTCAATGCCATGAGCAGAGAAACCCTCTTAGAGATTGATTCCCAATAGGTACTTGCAGGGACTGTGACGTTACACGAGTGAATCTGAAAGCCACCAAAACCCCATCCAACACAAAGGATGCAGTAATAAAAGCATCACGAAGCTCAAGCTGAGGCTAACCACAGAGAATCACATTCTCTGTGTATCATTTCCTCTCCAAGAGCCAGGAATGTTGCCACAGGTTGGAACCTCAGCCCAAGCTAATAAAAATCTTTAAGGCCAATTTCTTTCTCCCATGGAATTCCATGCGGAGGCAGTTTGAGGATGGGGGAAGTTCACATAGTAAATAAACACAGATAAAAAAGGAATTGGAGGAAAAAGGAAGCAATTGGTAGAAACCCAACACTGAGCAGCTGCGGTGTTTTCCTACTGTCTCCGAGGGCTTTTAGCACCTCCAGCAAATCTCCCACACCTTGAGGAGAATTACAGTGCAATAAAATGTTCAGAGCATCACAGCCTTGGGAAGTCCTTGCCCAAACAGAGAAGCACAGGCACTTCAAACCAGCACCTCCTGCCCCACGCTCAGCCCCGAGCCCTTCTGCATCCACAATCAGCTGCTCCTCCCGCTGCTCTCCATGGTATCCCGATGGCACAGAGGGATGAGCACCTCCAGCTCTGCTGGGGGACCACATCTGCGTGTCTGGGTCTTTTCCTGAACCGGGTTTTGGGAGCAGCAGGAGGTGGATGTGCTGTGCCACAGCCCAAATTCCCGCTGACCTGGGATACTGGGAGCCCCTTTGTTTTACTGGTTTTGAGGCACAAGGGATTTTGTGGACCAGTCCCTCAGTGTTACCAAGCAACATCCAGCACGGAGGGCAATTCCCTTCCAACCGTGTCAGTAATGCCACCTAACATTTGGTTATGGGTTGGGTGTGCTGGGGTTTAGGGGGGGACATCAGATTAGAACCTGCTTTACAGAGAGCCACCTTTATCAGGTGGGAAGCACTGCACTCCAGGAGAGGAAAACTGAGGGCAAGATCTCCCCGCAGTGTTCATTAGGACATGATCTTGGTTTTCACTTTATTAAATGCAGATCCTCGATCCAATCCTCCCCGAGCCAGCGGCTCCGCAGAGCCTGGGAAGAGGAGGGGAAGCCTCATCTGCCGTACCCAGAGCACCCTCTGCTGTCTGCGCTTCCCCACAGCAACCCCGGTTGTCAGGAGCAGCCCAGCGAGCAGCACTCACCCTGCCTGGCAATAACATCGGCGTCGATCACAGCACAGCCCAGCTCCTGCAGCACAGCCACCACCGTGCTCTTCCCCGACGCGATGCCCCCCGAGAGGCCGACCAGGAACATCGTGCTCTGAAACGCAGAGAAAAAGGCCTTGGAAAGACGTCAGGATGGCACCATCCGGCTCATGCACTATGGGCTCTTTCCTTCCAAGAGGCAGGCAAACAGATGGGGTTAAAGGAGCAACAACAAGGGGTAGCTAAAGGGAACCAGAGAGGGCACTCATGCTAAGCAGCAGTGGCTGATGGGAAGCTCAGTGATGCCAAGCCCCATTCCTGGTGGTCCAGAGCCTTTCCTGGTGTAATGCTGGGCCTGGTGTCTCTACCACAGCGGGTTAAAACCTTGCCCTCTCCAGCACCATCTTCTGTGCCCTCAGCACCAGCCTGCAAGGGGGAATGCTGCAGGATGGGAACCAGGCCTTTGGCACGCTTGGGATGGAGGCTCCACTTTTGTGAGAGCCACATGGAAACCTCTTGTGCCCATGCAGCCGCAAGGCTTCAGCTGCAGTAACCACAACGCTTGGGCCTCCAGCCTCAGCTGGGACTTGCTCCCAGCGACCTTGGCTGTTTCTGTCCCTCTGCCGTGACAATTACTGCAGGGGTAAGAGAGCACTGGAAGGGATAACCTAGAAACGACGGCCAAACGGGGCGTGAAAACACTTGTGCTGTCAGAGGGCCTGTACGGATCCGCGGTAGGAAGGATAAATCTTTAATGAGCCTGGGGCTGAACTGCACACAAGGGTACCGAGGCTCCTGCAGATGTTACAGGCAGGAGCCAGAACCACTTTTCCCTCATAATACACTTTTTATTTGGCGTGTATTTGGCCAGCACCAACTAAATCAAACGTGGGGAAAGCTGAAAGCCACATGGAAAACCTGGTGAGTTATCCCTGCTGTGAGAAATGGGCCCTGGGGAATGTACCCCAAAGCTGGAAAAGCAGCTTTTAAACACCGAGGTGCCCCAAATTCCCCCGTGTCCCAGCTCCTCCGGTTTTCCAGCAGGAGTTGGCTGCTCCAAGGCTCATCCAGAGCCCATGGAGGCTGAGGACAGAGCTGAAACGTGTCCTCTGGCCCCATCCCGCTCCCCGACGCTGTTCCTGCTCTTGCTCCCCTCGCCTCTGGCGCACTCACAGACCCAGTGCTCAGCTTGAGGAGGCTGCGGTTAAAGAAAGCACCCATACAATGCACCGGTACCTTGGTGGAGTCATAGAATCATAGAATAGTTAGGGTTGGAAAGGACCTTAAGATCATCCAGTTCCAACCCCCCTGCCATGGGCAGGGACACCTCACACTAAACCATGGCACCCAAAGCATCACCTGCGACTCCTCGAACAACTTCATCAGCACTGCATCTGTACAATACTAAGCACCCATTGGACTGTGTCAGATGTCACTGTCCTCGAACAGGCAGGGTCACCAGTATCGAGGCCATATTGCTGAAATTGCAGCTGCGCTGTGCAGAACACATCTCTAGCATCACCACCTCCCCAAGATCCTGTTTCATGGTGAACTTGCCACCAGTTGCCACCAAGTGAAGTGCCCAAAAGGAGACATATAAGGACTCCCTGAAACAATCCTCAGCCTTGGCCATACAGACTACCATCAGTGGTCCACCTTGGCCTCCAATCAGGAGACCTGGAGACACACCATGCATAACGCAGTTGCCTCCATTGAGAACTCATGCAGAACTAGTCTCGAGGAGAAAAGCCAACGTAGAAGGAACCGAGCCCCGCCTGTACCACCCAAGGGGACCTTTCGTTGTGCTTTTTGCAGCCAGATTTGCCCATCCCACATTGGCCTTTTTAGTCACCAGCGCGCTTGTGAAGCCCTTCCCAAATGCTCGGTCGCGAAGTCAAGCCATGAGGATGATGATGATGACACTGATGGGGAACGGCAGCCACCGGCACAGCCATGAACCCCCCCCCCGGCCTCTCAGCGGGTGCTCAACCAAGACCCATGCGTTCCCTGACTGCACCGGACAGGGCCCTGCCTGCAAACCGGCGCGGTCCCGGTGGGCCCGAGGCCTCCCCAAGGCCGGGGCCTGGGCCACTGTTGGGGTCAGACCGGGAGGGCCCCGGGAGCGCCCGGGCCAAGCCTTCACCCACTCACCCTGTGCCCGGCTTCATGCGCGGCGCAGCATCCCGCCCGCCTATTGGCTGGTGGGAAAAGGGGACTGTCTGCCAGCCAATCAGCACCTCCCTCATTGGATTCGGCCCGCTCCCTGAGGCAGGAAGCGAGAGCGAGGACCCCGCGGGCTCAGCGTGGGAGAGCGGACACAAGAGCCGGGCCGCGGGTGTCCGCACGGCTGCGCCCGTGTGCGCGAGCCCTCCCGCCACGGAGCCCCGCCCCGGGACGTCCCCAAAGGCCGACGGGAGCTGTAGTCCCGGCGCGGCCCGGTGCCCGCATGCTGTCACGGACTACCGGTTCCGGCATGCCCCGCGGCCCATCGCCCAATCGCGGCGCGCTTTGGTGTGGGGGTGCGGTAGAGGCCGAGGCCCCGTTGCAAGGCGGCGGACGGTAGCGAGGCGGCCACCGCCGAGGTCTCCGCAGCCTCCGGCGGAGAACGACCCCGAGCACTGCAGCGACTGCGAGGAGACGGAGCACGGCTCCAACCGCGGGTGAGCAGCGCCCGGGGCCATTAAGGAAGGCGGTGGCAGGGAAGTGAGCGACGCCCCGCCTTCAGGGCGCGCTGATTGGGTGCGAGGCAGCTTCCTGTTGTATGATTGGTCGAGCTGCCCGTCAGTCTGCCGGGGGGCGGAGCCGCTGGCTCCCGTTGACAGCAGTGATGGGAGCGTGTCTGGAGCCGAGCGGCGTCGGGGAACGGGCAGCGCCGTGTCCGGGGACAGCGGGGCCGGGCCCGCGATTGCATCTTTGGCAGGAATGAGCCTAATCCGCAGCTCCTGTCCGTGTGTTAGGGTGCGCCTCGCATTCCCAATGCCCCCCAGTACAAGCCCCGTTATCCTGCTGGCATCTCCAGCACCACGGTGGTACCCAGGGTGCGTTATCCCGCTCCCCGGAGCCTAGGCTCCCGCACACCCGTTCTGGCCTCATCCTGGAAACAGCCCAGGGTTTTGCAAAGCTCGGCTGATGATGTTTTGTGGTTTGAGGAGCCGGGTGTGAAATGGTGAGTTAGCAGCAGTTAGGCTGGGAGAGAGCCGATGTGGCAAGGAAGGGCTTTATCTAGGTAGGAAAGATCTAAAATCCCCATCAATCCCCCCGTTACTCGCGGCTTTATTTGATAAGGCAAGGAGCTGCCTCAACTGTTGCTTTCCTCCCCTTTCCTGTTGGCTTTGCATGCAGCAGGGCATGTCCATGTGTGGCTCATGTGCTTCCAGAGGTCTTCATGCCCCTGAGCCTCACCAGACTCCTCTTCCCTCTCAACCCTGTGCCCCAGCAGCTCTGCGGTGCAGAGCCCATCACCTTATTTTC